TTAATTTATCTCGTTTTGTTAACATTGTTGTTGGATTTCGTTTTAAATCTGAAAGTTCAGGCAATGGTTGTGAGACAAAGTTTTATGTTCTGAATTTCTTTATTAATTATTAAAATTGTCGGACCCAGTATATATATATGATGAAAAGATGTTTAGTTAGAATATGTGTGTGTGTGTGCGCGCGCGCCCTCTATTATTAGCTCTCTTTTATTATTGCTAAATTGTATCTTGAAATCATTTAATCCCCCCCCCCCTTTTTTTCTTTTGGGCTTGGTACAAGATCGTAGTTGATATGTGTCAAAATTTTCGCACGCATGTATAATGATTAAGTGATAAATTGTCCGTTCAAAAAGCATCGGTAGTTAAACTGAAATAAAATGAAAATGACAATATGATTACAAGAGATAAGAATTTGTATATAAAAAATGAAATTAAAAGTTTAACTAATAAAACAATTCTCTTACTTAATGGATATATAAAATTGGAATAACATCGCTATTGCAGGCGGTGTTGTGGATATCGACATGAAGCTAAGGTGTATTAACAAAAGACACACAACATAGTGACATTGGTATATAATTAATTAATGTAAGATATTGATGATTGCTTCGTGCTTATGACGCGACAATTGTAATGATCATAGAAGTTTGTCTTGTTTTTGTTGTATGCATCCAATTAAAATATTAATGGTGACTCCATTTGAAAAACAAAATTATTATCTGCCATCAAGAAGACAACTAAGAGTACATATAAATAAATAAGAATAAAACGAAACTTAATTAGCCGGGAGTGATATTAATGCTTAGCTCAAACGTCATTATGAAATAATTTAATTAAGAATGAGAATGCGGTCTGCGGATTAAGATTAGATGAAGCTTTTTCTTTGACCTTCTCTAATTTTATTTCCTTCACTTTTATTTTGTCATCCATTATTATTATTGGATGATAAATGTTAAAATAAAGGCAAATAAAAGTAGATTTTTAATCCTTCAACTTCACATGCTATTTCTATGATTTTATAAGGTAGAGATAGAAGATATTTTTTAGTCCTATTTATAAGTCATGCTATTAAATTTTAACATAAATGTATTACTTTATCCCTAATTTATTATTACGTAGATAGTCAATTTGTTGGAAAACATATATACTAACTAAGAATAAATTTGAAAATTTGTTAAATTAAGGGAGAATTAATGAGGTTTAAAATTTTTGTTAGTTATAATGAAAACATATTGGAAGTAACTTATAATTCATAAATAGGACTAGAAGAGTATTTGACTTTGATCTCTTAATTTTATAAAGTATTTTTTTTACCCTAATGCCATTAATAAAAAGGTGCTGCTGAAAGTTTAAAGAGAGAAATTACAATGAGGTCATAAAAAAAAGAACATAATTACAATAAAAGAAGAAGAGAGGTTCTAGAAGTTGTTATGTTTTACTTTAAAACTTGTTATTACAAGCTGTTTTGGTTGTTATTAAAATTTTTTAGTAATTATTTTTCTTGGTTAGGACCTTATCGTAATTCTTCCAAATTTAAATGCTAACAAAACACCCTCAAATAACATGTTAAATTTAATTTTTAAAATATTAATAATTATTATAAAAATTTATTATTCGAGGCTAACTTTATTATGATTAAAGAATTAAAGAGATTAGCCCTTTTTAAAATTAAAGATCAAACTGAAAAAATACGTAACGTTAGAGAATTAAACATGTACCTTTGCCTAAAATGAATGGAGCATCGAGACGGAATTATAGGAGGGTCTCCCATAGAAACCGAGAGCTACGTTGTCTGTCTTTTTATTATTCATCTGTCGTCATCCCATATCCAACGTTTTCATTTCCTTTTCAGTGGGTGGCTGTTTCTTCTTAATCTCTTTGTTTTTGACTAAAGCATCTTCCCATGTTTACACTATACTAAAACATTAAACTTGTGGTTTTGTTTTGCTAAAATTTTAAAATAGAGCTTGCTCTACCAGATATCATGTAGAAAAAGAGGAAGAAAAAAACAATGCTCCAAGATTACCAAGGCAAGAACAAACTTAATTTTTAAATTATTTATTAAAATTAATAAATTAATTTTCTTATTGAGTGATAATTATAAAATTATTTTTTATTTTGGATTATACATTTATTAAAATAAAAAATTATTAACAACATAAGAATAAAACCCAAGTAATGTGGGAATCAGCCGAAGGTGTTATTTTGCATTGGGCTGGATTGGGCTCAAATTCTAAGCAACACATTTTCAAACCCAATCCAAGTCCCACCAGATTGGGTTGAAGTCCAACTTGCATACCCTCCTGCTCATGAGCATGATAAAGACTGAAATTTCAATAAATATTCAAATTATATTATAAAATTTAAATCTATGTTCTTGTAGCTCCAATGGGTTAATACAATCTTTGATCTTTCAAGTTTAAAACTATAGATTTTGGTCCCTTAAGACGTAAAATAGTTTAGGCTTTTATTAAGTTATCAAATCTAATGTTTTAAATGGAAAGAACCTTGAAGAACCAAGACCTATGGTTTGAAATTTGAGAGACCAAAATCAAAAGAAGGGCAAATTTGAGAGATAAAAAATTATATTAACCTTATATATATTTCTCCTTTTTCTCCCTAAACTCCCTTTTTAAATTTTAAAAAATAAATTCAAACCCCCCAACAGTGTATTGTAGGGGGCCAATGGTAATACCCTTTCATGATGAAACCACTTTACCAGCATTTTATCTCTGAATTGATCTTAGTTTTCTTGAAAAGTGCTAGGTTCTATGTTTGAGAGAGACAATTAACTTTAGTTATAAAACCCCCGGATTTTGACCTAGTGACCACAGTATCAATGTTCTAAAAATAATTATTACTATTTCTGTCCTAATTATAAGATATCATTTGTAAAAGTACAAACAAAGTCTTATAATTAAAACCAGAGGTAGTATTATTTTTGGAGTATATGAAAATGACTAAAAAATAAATGTTCTACCATATTATATTACCAAGCTTGTCTTTCTTACAAAGTTGGAAATGTTGGCAGCTTCCATAACTGGGAGGTATGGCTTGTAATCTTCAATGAATTAGAGGGTGAGCGAGAGAGGACAATAAATTTTGGATCCCTGTGGCAAACAAGCAAAACAGATGGAATAATAGAGAAAGTATACCTTAAATTTTTGAAAGAAAGATTCAACCTTACTTACACAGTTGCTTAGAAATCAAGTTTTATCCTTCATAATCAATCAACAACCAGTCGCCTAATGCCTTTGCCACTCTACCTTCCATCCACTCCCAACCACTAAACTTGCATGTAAACTCAATCAAATTCTTCTCTTTAATTCTACTCTTTGTTCTCATCTATAAATTGCAGATCAATGACTCTGTTTCTGGGGCAAACAAGACCGTTTCAGACTGGATTTTTAGTATCTTCCTTTTACTATCAGTCAAATTTTCTTCCCTGCCTTGCATCACATGGATGCCAAGCATGGCACCGTGGAGAAGAGAAAACCTTCTTGCTTTGTGGTAGCTCTCTGCCCTTGTCTTGTTTGCTTCATTCTGTTACTCATTGCATTGTCTATTCTTCTCATTGTGAAATTCCATTTCTTTTGCCGTACTCCTATTTTGCATTCCTTGCTTCACAGAAAAGGCTGTTGATTCCCCATTATAGGTTTTTCAGAAAGGTTAATATCTTTGAGTTTCATGGAATTTGCTAGTGTGTTAGTGGAGGTGGTATAGATTCTGGGAATGTGGACAATAATAGCGTTCAATGATGTTGGTGGTAATATATAACTGCAACTTCTGATAGGTTATGCAAGGTGATTGAACCATCAAAAATCAACAAATTATGAAGAAGTTTCTGTCCTGAATATGATATGTACATTGTTCATTTGAAGACTCCAGAGAAAATGACAGAGAAGGAAATGGAAGCTCCTCAGCTTGATTTGTTTGATCAGATGAGAAGTTTAGGTGTGAAGCAAATCGTGGGAGCTCATCAGGGACTTACAGGGGAAATAACACCTAGAAATGTACTTACTTGTTATTCGTCAGTAACGAGGTTGTCATATAAATAACAGGATTTAAATATTTTGGGTTATGAATGAAATTCTTGCCAACCATATCAATATTAAGGGTCATAACAAGTTTGCTGTTGAAATTTCAAGAGGTGGGAAGGATGATATGCCTAAGGAGTTAGGTCAAAAGATGAAATTGGACGACAAGTCTGAGGTATCCAATGTGTTATGTTTGATGAGGTTGATGTTAAAGTGTGTCATCATTTGGAAGGCCTCGCCAATATGCTTGGACATATCTATACTTTACTCTGTTGCAGACTAAGTATCAACTCGGTTTGAGAAAGATCACCGTTCATTATGTCTGGTCTTTAAGCATCGTCCATGCTGAAACTCAAATCAATACAGCTGATTATTCTTGGAGATTTTCAATGTATCTGGGAATGTTTCAGTGTAGTTTCAATATACCTGTCCAGTTCTTAATGTAGGATCTAATTGAGAAGTTGATATTAATTTTTATATATAAGATATATTTTACATATTCGTCAATTTTTTTCTCAAATTAATCCTATTGATATTTTCTGGAAAATAATCAAGTAGAAGAGAGGAAGAGGAAATTAAGGAAGATGGTTAGGGTTTTTTTTTTTAAAAAAATCAGATTAACTAATTTAATTTACTTAAATTAATTAATTAGTGTATATATATATATAAAGTTTGAGTTGGAAACAAACTTAGAAATTTAATTTGGGCCGTTTAATTTTTCACACGAATTTATTAAAAAAATAACGTAATGTGAAAAAATTTTAATTATAAATTTTAAAAATTATAATTATAAATATAAAATTATAAATATATCCATAAAATATATAATGGATTATGTTGGCAAAAAAAAAGGGATTATGCTATTTAGTATAGCCACGTATTTTTTGGATTTCATGAGAGTCCATTATAGCTATTCATTTACAATCTATAGTTAACTGTTAATTATTGATTAATAATTTTTTCGGATGATTTGGGGACGTTTTAAACGACGTCGTTCTGTGCGGCCGACAGGATGAAGAGGAGGTAGACGGCAAGGGCCATTCTTTATCCCCGACTTTCTCAGTGCTATCGCCTCCGGTCTCTGCTGTCTCTGCCTGCGACGTGCTAGCTTGGTCATGTAAGTTATTTTATCTGAACTATCTCCCTACAGATCCCAATCATAGAATCCTAGTACTTTTCTTCGCTTATTGTTACTGCCTTTCGACAGCTGCTTTGCTAGTTTCACAAATTTTCTTCCACTTCCATTATTCGAAGAGCACAAAAAGGCTCCCTCTGTTTTTGCCCTTTGGACTCTCGCTCTGTTTTGTTTTGTCTTCACCATAACTTTTGTGGTTTTTTGTTTTCACTTGGGTTTGTTGCATTGTCCTGATTGAATTCCTTGTTTTAAAGGGAATACTTTTGCTTACCTGTTTTTTAAGTTGTTGCTAATTAATTGTACTATTTGTCATTCTCACTTAGTCACGGCACCTTGTGGCGACTAATTTTCACTTTTTGATTTCCTGTAGAATTCGTTGCCTGTTTTCTGCTTGACATAAGTTCAAATCGTGTGAGCTATCTTGCATGGTCGCAGAGAAAGCTGCGGTCTTCGTCATATCTTGAAGGTGCAATTTGACATCATTCCTCTTGTTTTTTGTACAATTTTCTGAATACTGTATGACATTTTTTATGGTTTAGGTCTTACCTTCACTGAAACGAGAAACTAAAATGTCGCTTGTATTCCCATCGTCCTCTACTGCAGCTTGGCATTTTACTCGATGTAAAATATATAATTTGGATTTCCATAAGAAATCTTCATATGTTTCATACACTCCCTTGCAACATAGAACGGTTCTGTGTTGTACGACCGAAAATGTCCTTCCCAACATCAGAAATGTACGAAGTATTCTTCGTAAGTATGCTTTTAGATGCAAGGGAGCTCGTAATGAATCATTTACTCAAGAAAGCACAATATCCTTGGATTTAGATGATGAAGAAGACCTTGAAGATACAGGGTCACCATGGGAAGGTGCAGTTATATACAAGAGAAATTCGTCAATTTCTCATCTTGAGTACTGCACTACCTTGGAAAGATTAGGTCTAGGGAAACTTTCAACTGATATCTCTAAATCTAGGGCTTCTGTTATGGGATTGCGTGTTACAAAAGCTGTGAAGGACTATCCACATGGGACGCCCGTTCAGATCTCCATAGATGTGACCAGAAAGAAAAAAAAGTTGAGGCTTGATGGGATTGTAAAATCTGTCATCACTCTTGGTTGTAATAGGTATTGCCTTCTTGAACTCATCCTGTTTTTATACAAATATGAGGGTTTTACTTGTATGTTTGCCATCTCCGATTTACTCTGTTATAAATATGTTTTTTCAGGTCTTAAAAGCTTAGTGTCTATACTCTATTGAAATTGTATATTTGCTTCTCTCTGCTGCTCGGACCTTCTTCATTTTAGTAAAGTTCTTTTATGCATCATGGAGCATACTTGATTAACTGAATGGTGATTCCATTCCAGCCTTTATGCAGTGGGAATGAGGATTCCTTAGTCTGGTGTGAAAAATCAACTTGGGATTATGATTCGATTCTGGCCTTGATTTTTGGGGGATTGAAATGTGAGCAAGAATGGTCATTGAAGTCCTTTGTAGATTATGTCAAAATTTATTCTGCATTCTGAGCTTAACATTAGGTGTTTAGATAATATATTTGGCCTCCTGCCCTTGCTCAATCTCTCCTTTTTTAACTTTTTAACTTCAGGCAATAAACCACAAAGGCAATTCAGTTTAGGTAATTATAAATAAAACGAAAATTTTGTTTATTTTCTTAGTTTAAGAAAAAACTCTTGAATAAAGTGGCAACATAGTTTATATCCAATTTGGTCTATTAATCATTTTTGAAAAATTTTCTTTTATTTTGCAAGTCAGTTTAAGAATTACAAGAGATTGCTTAGGATGACGTTCTCTGTGTGTGCGCGCGTGCGCGCGTCTTTGTTTGATCCTTTTGGAAAAGTGCAACTTCAATTGGTGTGATTTTAATCATCATATGTCTTGAAGATATCTTCAATTTCTCATGCCAAGATCAAAGGTTAGATTGAGGAAGGAGTGTTTGTAATTATTGGTGGGGGAAAATAAGGTATTAGCCAACTTTTGTGTCTCATAGAATGATAGAGTTATATTTTTAACCATTTGTGGTTAGGTATATATTATTTGGCCTATCAGTAGTGCTGGTAAGATATTTTTTTTTTTTTTATTTTTTTTTAAAGTAAGCTTAAGAATTATAAGAATGGCTTGGGATGATGTTCGACATATGTCTTTGTTTCTTCTTTGATTTTTGACAAATGTCTTGGAAGTTATCTTCAATCTCTCACGCCATTAACAGAGGCTAGATTCAGGAAGTTGTATTGACGTTGAAAAAGCCAAGGTATTAGCCTACTTTAGTGGGCTATAGGATTGATAGAGTTATGGTTTTTTTTTTTTTTTAAATAAAAAAAGAATACACTAGAGTTATGTTTTAAACCTCTGGTTTGCTGCCTCTGTTTTTTGTGTTTCTCAGGTGGATTTGATGACACTGTTAACAACTTCTTTTTCTAAATTCTTTTCAGTAATAACTTTTTCGAATGCTTTTTTGCACTACCTCATGAAACATACAACTCTTGCACTGATTCATTGTAAATTACGATTAGATGATTCAGTTGGTTGTTTGTCTGTCAATGAGAACTGGAATAATAGTGCTGAAAAATGCAACAAGCTATGGTTCTACTTTTCAATTGGTAATGTTACTGGATATTATATTTAGGTATTAGGCATATGGATGTCTTATTTTATTCCCTGGCAAGTCACGGTGCTGGTTTAAGTTTAGCAGCTGACGCTGGGAACCTTGAAGCATATAAATTTTAAACCTGTAGAAAGGTTTTAGGCGTGAGTACTTTTTCTTTGTTTCATTACTTGTATTTTTTTCACTTTTCTCCTTTTTTGGGGTCAAAGATGGGTGTAACTAAAATTCATTGACACCCCATGCAAGCTCAAACTGACGTGAACAAGGTGATCAGCAGCTGGCTACTAACCCATGAAATTTTGAAATTTTTTAGGAATTTGAAATCTTTCAAGTGGCAACAATGAATAATAATGCTTCCCTTCCGATCATAGTGCATGCAATACCCTTGAAGAAGTTTTAAATCCTGAAATTTGTTGGCCCCCTCTGTTTCGTTTGGCTTGACATCTTCCTGGCTTCTCAACATGTTATGCAATTTTTCTTGGGGTCTAATGGTTCATTCTCAACATTTTATATTCTCTTTGTGGTCTCCTGTTACTGCTTTTAATGAAAATTCAGGTAAATCTTAGTTTTTATATTGTTTGAGCACACTATCTTCTCTAGTTTTAATACATCCTGAAGCAGCTTTCTGATCTCCATATATGAATACATATTTATTCGACCCGCGTCTCCTACCCCTGAACTGAACAGATGTGGTTGGTTCGTTTATAAAACCTTTGATTTCATACACCCTTAACCAGGTAATGGACAAGGCAACTGTGAAGTCAATTCCGCAAGTCTATATTCCCTCCACCAAAACAAATACTCTGAACTTGGTCAAGGCTAACTCTTCATTGGGTTGTAACAATATTGTAAAGACTTGGATGGTTGAAATAAACATGAGTCTGCACGATTTGATAAGTTATTTTCCCTCGAGTGACTGAAAGCTGCGTAACGTAACTGTCTTGTATGTTGTAGAGTTTACTGATTGACCAAGACCGGCCTAGATAATCACACCAATCATTTCATCATGTCGCCAAAAGAGCAAAAAAATAGGCTCGAATTGTAGATTGAAGAAGATACGAAAAGATAAAGAGAGAAGACCATGTGTTTGCTTGTGGTAGATTAACCTCGTACGAGTACAGCTATGAAATATATCAGGTTCTAGTTTCTTAATGTTCCACAAATTCATTGAATGTATATTAAGCAGCAGAGCCCTGGAGTATTTTATCATTGGCGCGGTGAACTGCATAAACTATTTTCTGTACTTCCTCTCTGCTTCCTCTTTCATCAAATAGCTTGTTTGAATGTATTGTTCAATTGAAGGTGTGGTCAGCCAGCCGCTGAGGGTATATTCTCTGAATTCTGCCTCTTGCTCACTGATGAACCGGTCGCTGAACCAGAGACTATTGACTTGGGTGTTTTATATGGGAAAGACATTTACAACGATGATAAAGAAGATGATGACGAGGATGATGACAATGATGCGTTGATTGACTTAGATGATCGGCTGCATTTTCCTCCTGAAAAGAAAGAAATTGACATTTCTAAGAACATAAGAGACAGGATACATCTTGAGATTACCATTAATGCTATCTGTGATCCCAGATGTAAAGGGTTGTGCCTGAAATGTGGTACGAATCTGAATACTAGCAGTTGCAATTGTAGCAGAGAGGAAACTAAAGAAAAAGGCTTAGGCCCTCTTGGGAATTTGAAAGAGCAGTTGCAGCGATAAGGTAGGTGGAAGCTTGTGTTTCACTTTGTAAGTTTTTTTAATTAATCTTTGAAGATAATGTCATTAGTTATTCTGGAGAAATTTCTATAATGAATAGAAATTAATGCAGTTTTCCATTAATACATAGGAGGGGTTCGGTACTTTATTTCAACTTCTTGAGTATAGATGGATTTATTTAATATAACTCATGTTTGGAATGGGAACTAAAACTGTCATGAAAAGAATATAAAATGTCCGAATGTTATCCGGAATACAATAAAATGGAATGAAGGGCGTTGCGTGAAGATAGAAGGAAAAAGACTTGTTATTGTTTTTCTTTTCTCTTAGTTCACAACATATGAGAGAGATGAATCAGATGTTATAAAATTTGATTAAAAAAGATAAGCTTATAACAATGAAGCTCAGGGAACAGTTACTATATCAACTAATGAATTGTAATGCCGTTTGAACTCAAGCTCTTAATATCAACAACAGTTAGCCAAGAGCTCATATTGTAATGATTTTAACAATTTGAGAAGTGTTTAATAAATATTGACACTGCCAAGAACTCGTGAAATACTAGTAGTTTAAGAGTAATTCTTAATATAAGTCACTTGCTCATTTGTTGGTAACAAAGTCCATTTTCACATATCAAGGAATGTATTAAATTGAGATTTTTCAATTTTATTCTCATTAATAATTCCCTTCTTTCTCTCTATATATTTGCAAATCATTATCATATTTCTCCTTTCTTTTTCTCTTTCCAATGAGAATTAAATAAGAGTAAAAATTTTTAAAAAAATAAATATACTATAAGTGACTATATTTAGGGCATAGTGATATTTTATTTAAATATGAAAACCTTGCTTAAATACTAATAATTCATCCAACGTCACATTCAAGTGAGCTTTCTGAATTATTGGCCAAAAAAGAGGAAGCTTGATGAATCACAAACAAATTTTAGAGACAGCCTCCGGTCATAATCAAAGTTGGGAAGTTTTCATCCATATCCATGCAAACTAGCCCACCCGTGCGCCTTTATTTTATGTTTTCAAACTTTTATAAGATATATTTCTCCCCGGGATGCTTTAAATAATTTTATAAACTGGTCAACACGGTACCGCCATTAATGATCAGCCTCGTTTGACTAATGAAAAGGAAATTAGAGTGTAATTTTCGTTTTGACTATGACATGTACTTTAAAAATACCATCTCTGAAAATAAGTTTTATAATTAGGATAGTATATGTTAATGATATATATATATATGCATATATTTTTGTGGAATCCTGAGAACTTACAAAGACAAGGACATACTTTTAAGTTCAGATAGCGTTTACAAATATACTTACAGATCACCCACCAACAAGATCCTCACATTATCAGTGGAATCGAATTCACTATTTTGTAAATTATAAGTTGACTCCTTACCAACTAGATCACTCTTGTTTGATTCAAATGCACTTTTAATTTAGTTTTATACAAAGTATCTATACTTCAATTATTTATTTCGCTCCATAAGTTTAATGTTATTTTTAAAGACTGTTTTTTTATTTTAATTCTTTTTATATTAGTTTGCTTACTTTACAAACTTTATTTTATACTAATATTATTTTTTCTATGGCCCGGAAAAAATTGGTTTTCATATACCTGTGACACTTTTCCCCCAATTCCCCTAGGATCAACAAGATTCTCTACGCATACGTGTGTCTATATCTTATTATTACCTATATATAAACAAGAGAGAAAGATAACACTTTTTTTTTATTTTAAATTTATTTCCAAGAGAAGTCTAATTGAAGAAATTTGGAGAGAAACAAAAAAAAAAACTTCAATTTGGTGCCTTTACAAATTACGAGGCCTATCTCTTATACTTACTTTGTACAGTATAAAATTACTTAAAATAAATTAAATCAAATACTCCCTAGACCTCCAAAGAAGCCAAATTAATGTGTAATGGAAGATAAACACCGTCATGCTCACTGTTAGGATAGGATTCGCACAGTATAAGTTCAATTTTCAATTGCCCAAATTTTAAATTTTCAATTGATATTTTTAATAAAAGTATTTTTTAAAAAAACTAGTATTTAAAAGATTATCTTTATTTTAAATTTTATACATATTAAAATATTTTTAAAAAAAATTAAATCTACAAACGTTCAGGCATATTTGATATATGAGCACAACAACTCTCCCTGATTAACAGTGCTATCTCTGTTATAAATCATTGAGACCCATTCAACATACAAAGGATCCCCATCTAGTTTACATAATATATTAAATAAATGTTTGTATAATGCTTTTTTTTTATTAATAAAGTTAATGTCAAGCATAAACCCATATACACTTCCCTTGTTATTAAAATGTCGGCACTCTATATCTTCTTTTTTTATTTTGACCCAAAGTCAACACTCAATATCAAAAGAAGATTTTTTTTTTCTCCCCAAAAAAACAACCTGTTTGTTACTTCATGTCTTTGTTTGTCATGTGAATTTTTTTGACCAACAGTCTGAAATGTTTTCACTTTATAAAAAAATGAGAAATATATATAATGCCTATATATTTCTGATATTGTTACTTAATAACTTTTTCTAAGATTATAACAGACATTCGCCACTTCCAAAATCATATTTTTGTTTGTTTCCTTTTAGATAACTTATTAACTTGACACACCCACGTGTACATATATATTGTGTCATGAAAATAGACAAAAATTATGTTAAATTTCTTAGAATCATCATGTCGATTATTCCAATCAGATTTAGCCATGTGTCTTGTCTTTCCCATCTCAGCATTAACGTAAACCCCAGTGTCTCTCTCAAACTACTTTTAGCCCTCTAAAATTTCTTTATAACCTCCATATATAAAAGAGCTAGTTTGATTTGTAAATAAAACAGAGAACTAGTTTCATCATTTGCTTGCCTTTTTTCTTTCAATAGATTATTTATGGTTTTATTTGCAAATGCCTTAAAGGTTTTTTCTCGGTCGGTAATTTCTTTTTTTTTAAATATCTATATATTTTATTATTATATGAATATTAAACTAAATTGACGTCAACGAAACACATTTAACTTCACATGTCGACATAGAGTTTGAACGTGAAGATGCGTATGCTGATTTTGTTAGATACAGTTTCACGAAACAATGGATAAACAAATATAAAACGTATCATCACAAGACACAGTTTTATCTCGAAAAAACATTTCCTTTAAAGAAGGGTTCAAATGAGTGAATGCCTATAAAGAAGGGTAAAAAAAAAAAAAAGCTCATACACATTTTGAGAATTCATTGTCTAACTCAAATAATTATTAATCCACAAGAAAATAAAAAAAAATGTAGCTGCATCTTTTGAGAAAGAATATAGCCATGCTTTAGGTACTTTGAGGAACAAGCATAAATTGTCGTTTAGAGAAAGATTTCTAGCTGACATTCAATTTCTAAGGAGCCGGCCTAAAAACCTTAGGAACTATGAAATAGAAATTAGAGTGAGGAAACTTGAAAATGTGGAAAATATAATTAGCTAAAACCCTAGAAAAAAAATTTGTTTCTAGAATTCTTGATAAAGAAAAGATTTCTCAATGAATTGGTCATATTCTTACAACATGAAAGTATTCTATCAAAAAAATAGAAAGTGAAAGTAATTGTTTGTCGATCAAAAGAAAATTTTTATTCGTAACTTGAAAATAACGACTTGCCTAGTATTCAAATAGAAAAAATTTCCAACATTCTATGAAAGATAAGATGTCATCTATATCTAAATTAAATCAAAATGTTAAATAATATCCTTAGAAACTTATATATTTAAAATAATATATCCAATGAATTTTACACGACAATAAGATTTAATAGATAGAATTTAATTTATTTAAAAGTCACTTCATATTAAAAAAATCCTAAGTGAAAAAGATGAAACTGAATTTCATCTCAAATATGCATCTTGTAACTTGAAACAAACCATCTTTAATCCTACTAATAGTCTTCTTCCATACACTATTCCTGTTCATGGCCTTCAATTCTATTCAGTATTCGCAATAACAACTCAAATTTTATAAGGAGAATATAGTACTCAAACTGAATCATTATTAAACAACCATACGAAATACTGTTCCATCAAAAAACGTAAGAACTAAGGAGAAGTTGAGAAAGCTAATAGAAAGAAATCAATTAAAACGCCATTCTCTTTTGGTCTCTTCTAGTGGCTTAGCCTCTTCTTCTTTCACGCAGGGTGCCCCTCAATTATATTGAAAACCCAAATTTGACCAAAAACAAAACAAAAAAAGAAATCCTCATCAGAATTCATTCATGGTATGATCTTCCGAGCGAAGCAACGGCATAAGCCCATAATTTCAGATCATCTTTCATCTCTGCTTCATTGCTCATATCCTCAGGAATTTTCATTTTCAATGGCTTCTCTACTTTCTTCTTCCAGTCCAGAAAGTCCCATGTTTCAGAAAGGTAAGGTCTCTGAATATATCTCTCATCAATCTCTTCTTCTTCTTCCTCTTTCTTCCCCAACCTCTTCAACCCAGGAATGATCGAAGCCAATGTCGAGTGCCTATCTTCTTCTTTGAAGATAAAACCCAGATCCTTGAACCCTTCCACTTCTTCTAATTCAAGCTCTCTTATGCTCATGTGCTTTCTTATCTTTCTTGACCTCTTCTTTGGTGAGATCATGGAGTTTGAATCTTCGGTTATATCCTTCTTCGTTGGAAAAGGGTCTGGCAAATGAACTGGAAGAACAGAAGTTGGAGAGAAAGAGTCAAGCATCTTGAAGCTACTCTCGCTCATTGACCTAGAATCCATGGCTGGAATGGTCAAAACCTTGAAATCAGAAGATTCATCTTCAGTTTGTTCTTGATCTTTGTTTGTTCCTTCAGGATATTTTATTCCTGTGATAACTAAATGCTGGAACCAGAGAGAATCGTATAGCTCAAGAACCTTCTTGTCAGCTTTCATGGTCACAGCAAAAAGATAAGCACCTGATGAAAACTAATACTGGTCAGAATATGAATATCAAGAGTTGGCGTGTTAAGATTGTATATATGTGTGTGTATATGTATATATCGCTAGGTTTGATATTACTATACTACCCTTAATCTCTGTGAGATTACCGGATATATGTGGAAGGTCAACCAACACGACGCTACAGTGTGAATAGAAACAGG